CAATTTTATTATTAATTAATTACAACGTTCGTGATACCTGGAAAGTGGTCGTTTAAATGAGCGCGAGAAATTTAACATTCTTATTATTAATTATCAAAGATTGCGAGCTTCTTAACGTGATCTTTTAATTAAGGGCTAGATATTTAATAATTGTATATTTAATTATCAAAAATATTCGCAAGACTCGTCACGTAGTCGATCAAACAGGCGCGAAAAGTTTAGCAATCTTATTTTTATTTATCCACAACTCTTGCGAGTCCCGGCACGTGGTTGTTTAAATATCGCAAAACATTTTACCATTTTATTAATTAATAAAGATAGGACTCAATTCCCGACGCGGTTTAAATAAGCAGAACGCGAAGAAAATTTATCGATCAATGAAGGGTCTCAATTACCAACGCGGTTTAATTCGCGCTTTTACAAGAAATCTCATTGTATTTGTTTAAATATCTTATTGTTATACCATTGGTCTGTTTAGTTTTGTTATTTTATTATTGTAGATTTTCCTATAATATCTTATATTAATTAACAAAAACTTTCAATATAAAAGATCTTAAAATATCATGTAATATAAAAATTCTTGAGTCTCTAGAAATTTTCTATCCAAGCCAGTAAATTCTATAATTATCAATATATTTGAAAAATTCTATGATAGACGTATGACATTGCTGTAACAATAACCGGTCACGAATAATAGATGCGCGCAGCGACAAAATCAAATGGCCAACACGATTTCCCGTCGATAGAAATAAATAGATTATATATAATATTTATCTCAGAACGCGAAATCTATTCTTATGATAAGTATATTATTAATTGGTACTTACCTATCGTACGTTGTACTCAGCTCACGATCGTCCTTCCTCGGATCTCGCTTGTCCTTCGACGTACCACAATCAATCTCCATCGTCTCTGTCTCGATGACCTCGAACTTTGTGCTCTGACTGACGGATGTAGGCTCGATAAAAATTCGATGCGTCTCGATTGGGCTTTGGCCGAACGCGCGCACTCACTATACGCGTGCCATGCTGTCGAACGCGCACTAATTATTAATTAAACTATGCGTAATATTATTGCTAAACGCGCACTCGCTGCATATTTGTACTGCCGAATGTACGTGCTGCCGAACGCGCACTTAATATGTGTACTCTCCAAATGCTTGATTGATAGAGTTCGATAATTTGTAATTAAAGTTCGCGGCGCCGGGAGCGCGCCACGCAGTACCATCCACACGCTGCGCCAATTCCCTACTGCTGAGCGCCCCGCGCCACGTCAGCGCGCCGCGGCCGTCGAGCCGCCGAGCCCGGCCTCCCCACGCGCATGCGCGCGCTGCGCGCCTCGCCGCTCGCCACGCCGCTCGCCGCGATGTTAATTCAATTGTATGGAATTTTGCAGGAATAATTACACCGATATTAAGCATATCGTATATTGTTCTGCGTGCTCTCCGGAAATAAAGAGTGACGACAATACCGTAGAAACAGAGACTCACACTTGACTTATTATACATATAATTTAATTTTGAACGACAGAGAAATCGATGGGTTCCTCTTTTTCTCCGTTGGCTAGGATAAAAAATCGTAATTGCTTGCTGTTAATTATTACAAACTTCTGATACACTTTACGGTAATCTAATAATAAGATAATTTAATACGCGAAACGGGCAAAACAATTCCGTAATTAACTGAACTGTAAAATAATTTACAGGTCGCTTAAATTACCGTTATAGCCGATTTCTCTTGTTCGGTGTGCTAATCTAAATAGATAAGAGGGATCTAGGAATCGGGAAATAACTGACACAACTTATTTAAAATAACAAATATAAAATAAATTTCAAAATCTTATTTAAAATAAAATATTGCAGGGGCCAGTAAAAAATTTATACAACTTATTTAAAATGAGAAATATAAAATATATTTTCCAAAAACGTATTTAAAATATAAATAAGAAATAGATTAGAAGAAGCTATTTAGAATAATAAATACTAAATAATTCTTTTACTTTTTTTATTTAAAATACATATTTTAAATAATAATATTATAAATACGACCAACCCAAAAAAATACATCTCTCTCATATATACCTAGCAGACAAAAATTAATTCAAATAAATTGAAATTTTAATTCAACGTAAATTGAAGTAATTATTATATCCTCATCGCTCATCTCGAAAGCTTGTTCATGCAGTTAATGATGAAGAACAAATGGCCGATTGATCGATCACAATACGTCATAAAAAATATTGAGATGTTAACTTCTTAATTAAAATTGATAACAATAATTTGTTTTTCCCATTCTTCCCGTCCTTTTGCATAAAGTTTGCAATAAACACGGTAAATATTCTCTCTAATACGTTTCTAATTTAACAATATAGATTTTATATTAACTTGCTGTGCGTGAATATTATTTACGTTAGCATTTATTATTTAATTTTATCATGTAAATTAAATCTAATACTAATATTAGAAAATGCAAGCGTCAAATTTTATCTTTGCAAAAATATTTTTAAATATAAAAATAATTAATCGACGTTGCTTTAATTAATTATTGTCTGTAATGCGACACAACGTACGAATAAAGAAAAGAAACGGCCGTAAAGAAATCAAATTGTAAACAACAAATCCCGACACTGAATGCGATATAGAGTATAGATGAAAACACAATGCAATGACAATAGTCATTAAAATTGGACAACATCGAAATGCTTAATATTAATTTTACGGCCATATTTAAAGCGATTGCGTATAGGTCGTCAGGGCAAATGGTAAAATGTGGCCAGGCAGTTCAGTTTTGATTGTTATTAGCGTGTTGATCTTTTCGGTAAAATAATTTTAAATAAAAGATTTAAAAATATTTATAATGCAAATTCTTTTTATTAAAAATTTTCTAATTTAAAAAAAACGTGCATCTTTTTTTCTTTGTTTTTGCCTGATTTAATACAATTATAAAAGATATTTATAAGAAATAATATAGTAACAATTTGTAATAATTTGGTGTAGTTATATTACCTCATATATGTATTTCTCTAATCTTTTTCTTCTTATTAGGTACATTCTTTGCCGTACTTTTCGCATATTGATTGGCGTAATGATCCAAATACAGTTACTCAAAATGAGAAAATTTTGAAACTTTTTTTAAAATTAGCAACGCACACGGCGAACCGTTTAACGCATTTGAGAAAGAAATTCGAAAAAGAATATGATTGTAGACGCAATGATAATCCATCAGTTTTAACGACAGAAACTCTCACAACACAATCATCATCTCAAACAAATCTAGAATGGCTTGACGAGAGTCAAAAAATCCTGAATCATTCGTCCTCCAGTGATTCTGAAATAAGTTCGGATCAAAATCAAACAGACGACCTGCAATTACAAGTATTGAGTAATCTTCAAAATATCGACGATGTTGAACGAGATATAGAACGTAATCTAAATTCAAAGGTGAGCAATTTAACTTCGAAGTCTGTACAAGATATCCATGATACTTCAACGAACGTTACTGGACGTAATGATCACGACGCACTTGATTTTGACACTTTGCAAAAACCAACAAATGAAGAAGCTAATCAAACCGACCTGGTAAATAACATCACAAACACATCGACTATAAATAATTTAACTAATATTGTAAATAAATTTTTTCCGAAGTTGCAGGAACCAACGCTTGAAATAAGTCAGCGATTATTTGGCACAGATCTAGCACAAATTGTTCCAAAAATTATTAGTGATGTACATCAAAATGTAGATCAGCATATTGCGAAAACACAAAATACACAAAAGCCGTTAGAGGCTGGCGTAAAGAGATTTTTTAATATTTTATCAAGCACGAAGAACATTTTGGAGTCGATAATTAAAGTTCTATCGGAGGCTGCAAAAGGCGCGAATAATTTACTACATCTAATTATTCCCCAATCTCAAGATACTAATTCCAATAATATACAACAAGAGCAAAGTAAAAGCGATTCGGCAGGTGAAACAGCTAATGCATCTGGAACGAATAATCAAGAAACAAGAAATAATCAAGAAAACTAACGATTTACTGACAAATGAGAATAATTCAACAGGTGAGGATAGTAATAAGCAACGTATATTATTAAAAGATTCCTCTCTTCCATTCTTCAGATCTTTTCCAAATTTTAATGTTCAGGAGGATAACAATTATAAGACTGAAACTGATTTTTCTTCTATTCAGGCAAATGAAAACGCTAATAGTTCTATCGACGCGGAATCAATAAGGGAAACGGATCAACGTAGAACAGATTGATGAAGAATTAAAAACCGAAGGAATTAAGAAAACGAACGAGACAAGAACGGATTACAGTGACGGGCTATTAAATTCAATTTCGGAGAACTTATCTGAAAAAAGTAGAAAAAGTAGATCGACAGACATTACAGTTGCGACATCAGCATCTCCTAATCAATTAGAATCCAGTATATTCACATTAGCTTCAATTATGGAACACCAAGCCAAGAATTTGAGCAGCGCACAAAATTCTGAAAATGTGAGCAATATTACAAAGTCTCTGATCTAGAAAAAGCGGAAAGACTTCAAAATAATTCGTCTGCTAATGACGAAATAAATCGACCGACTGAAAATCAAATTATCAATTAATATTCATGTAGACGATGATTTATTAGAATCAAACAGTCGCTTTCTTATCGATGCTTTGAAAAGCGAAGATTTGCATGAGCAATTATCTGAAGCAAAATTGCAAGAAATCAACAAACAATTATCTGAAGCAAAATTGCAAGAAATCAACAATCGATTGATTAACGCGCTTCGACCGATAAAAAAGAGTATGGACAATAATCAAAGTTACGTGACTGATCATTCTAATAAATAATGATAAAATTTGCCATTAGACATATTATCTGATTCTAAGCAAATAATTCTTGAGTAAGATTCAAATAACTTGAATTTAAAATTATATTAGAAAACAGCTGTAATAATTAAAATAATTATTGGGTTGAATGAAAATTGGATTTCGTTTTTTGTTATTATACTAATGCCATTTATTTGCAAAAAGACAAAACGTAATAGCAATTATTTTGCAATTACAATACAATATATTGTAATAAGGTTAATTAAAATAATTATAAAAATACTCTATTTTTGAAAATTAGATTTGAATGCGAATTATTCCTATCAGTTTTGAAGTTTATAGTTGTGAGAAATCATTGTGCTAAATCCTGAAAGTGTTTCTTGATTCCGTAAAATTAATTTTACTATCTTTACAACTTCCGCGTGAAAATCAATTGACCATGAATAACAACTAGAACGTAATTGTCTTTTCGTTTTGATTAGTTTTGTAATGCGACTATATCGACGAAACATTTTTTTATCACACAGTGATTTCTCGAGCACAATCTTAAAACTCATTCATATCCATAAAAGAAATTCTGTATATTAAAAAATGTACTGTCACTTATAAATCAGAAATAATATATATAATGTTGCTAATGATGTTAGTTAGAAATAATTTTTTTTTAACCATAATTAAATCGAAGATGCAACTTTTCGCTTCCAAAAGAATCAGGATTATAATCAAACAAAAGTAATTATTATATAATAAGAGAAAATAATTATTATATTAGATTATATTTCACTCTGTTAGATATTTATTAAAATCTCACAAATTCAAGAGAATAGAGAGATTAACAAGTAGAATGAGAAATATCTTTATATATAATTATATGCTTAAGAAAGAAATAGACAGAAATAAAGACAATCGAGAAAGTCGTTTGCACGAGAACAATATGTTTAATTTTGAAATGTATAGATAACGACGATCAAGATGAATTAGACAACGTCGTATTAATTTGACAATTTTTATGGCGCAAACGACACATTGCCGTTGCCGATTCAAAGGTGCGTTTCACGAAAGCCGCACTTACTGGCTCTTGGCATTGCGTCTCATTGATCGGTTCGCGTGCGCTCACAAACTGATTGCCTATAAGCGGATGCCCCGAACTTATCGCGAACAATTACGGTCTATCGCACGGAATAAATGGCACGAATCAAACGATCTTTAATTTCTATAGGTATCGATGTTAAGCCGATATCTACGCTGCGCGAGAATTCCATCGGCACCGTAAAATTACCGCATATAAAAGTAGGTTTATAATAGATACCACCGTTCTGTGACGTGCTGGGCCAGCAATTACATCTGTGACAATTACATTATTACGTTATGTTCTTGCCAATATTGTGGACCACCCTAGTGGTGGTCAGTAGTACTCAAGTAAGAATTACAAAATGATAAATAGAAAAATAATTAATGAAAGTGATATATATATTAAGAACTCAGTGAAAAAGCTTTCATATCTCTATTTTTAATTACTTCCATAAATAATAATAATCTTACGTATTTATGGTTGTTAATTTCAACAATCCTCTAGTAACAGAACATGAGCAATTTCAATATTACAAATTGTAGAGTGTGAAAAGTTATTAAATATTTTGCGAACAACGGTCACGCTTATATACGAATTATTCTTATAACTTAATGATGCCATAATTTGTACCATGTAAATCTTTCTAGATACTTTCGTCGGAGCAAACTTCAGAAGAGGTAAGAAAAAAATGAAAAAACAAACATAAGAATTAATTTTCATTTTTTTAAGAACATTACATATGTACAGTCGTGGACACATCGGTTGCGACACTTTTTTTGATAGGTTTCTAATATATATTTAATATACATAATATATACTTTATAGATAACTAATATTTTGCGAACCACGATGTACTATCTTTAGTCTAGAGACAGTATAACACCAATCGTCGTCCGCATTTGCAAAATATTAGTGCGTTTTGAAATCTATAAAAAATAAAGTGTCGCAACCGATGTGTCCATGACTGTACAACTGGTAATTTACAGAAACAGGATAATTTAGGACCGATATTTCAAAACAAAAACGTGAACGTTATCGTGAACATAAACGCGCAGAATGTGGCTCAAGAATTGTGGAAGATAATTGAGTCCCGCTTAAACAATCGTTCCGATCATATCACCAGCTTAAAGAACATCAAGAAGGATCTCGAGGATGCTATAATACCTTTGTTACACAGTAGAAGAGGAATATCCCCGTCCACTTTTCAAGTGGCAGACCAGCTCGATAAGATCACCCGAAGAGCGCTCATTAGAGATACACCGGATATAAATATGTTAGACGAAGAAATCATGACGAGAGACATCGTAGCAGATATGATGGCTTCCCTGAAGGTAGTTCTATCGAAAGGGAATCAATCGAAAACCGATAAGAAAAACAAGTCGAAAACCGATAACAGAAACAATAAAAAGGACAAACCTGGTAGAAGGATGCTGCAACAATCTGTCACGACAGCAATGTCCGACGACAATAAGCAGAACGATTACGTGAATGTCAGAATCAAGATGCACAGGAAGGACATTCTCGATGCTCTTTGTTAGCCCGGCGTCACATTTTGTGTTTAACAAAAAGAAATTATTTGATAAAATAATTATTAACATTGTATCTAGACTTAATTGTTATCAATAAATTTTTGAGGAAAGTAAATGTTTAATATACTTGATTTTATCTCGATTTTGTAAATAAACGGTTGTTTTAATTACTATATGTACATTTCTCGCTTATATGTTTTATTTAAGACTTGCGTCGTTTATTTTACGTTCAGCGAAATTGTTTTATTATTTAGCACTACAGTATAGTCATTTTATAAAATATTAATTTTATTTGCTTTGACATAGAAAGGAATTAGTGTAACTAAAATAAATAACAATTTTTTAACACACTTGTTTTCTGGTGCGAAATGGTGCTGATATTTTTTTCTGTAATTATATTTTGTTTAAAACAGAAATGAATACAACTAAAGAAGAGAGAAAACTTTTATCATTCCATTATTTATATCTAGACTTAATTGATATATAGTTGATTTAAATCAACATGTAATATTTCTAACACGTAAATTTATGCACTTCGATCTCGAGAGCTCTAAGAGCTATTTTATAGTGTACAATTGGTAGTATCGTAAAGACTAAATTGAATCTGGCACATCATGTGCCATTAATGTTCACTCACACAAACGATAACATTTTATGTAATCATTGTATGCTTTATACAATTAACAATTTTTTATTACGCTCAGTGCAAATTCGTAAATGACTTTTAATCTTAAAGTGACCATGAACGGTTCTATATTAACTCTCAGCATCAGACGATGAATTCAGTAATCGAACGTCAAACATTGACATGATCATGTCTTTCGTGACGATTTCGCGCCAAATACTTGGCTGTTTGGTAAGTAAATTATTTTCTATTACTATCTATGAAAAATAATATCGTTAAAAATATAATTCTTATATTTATTAAAATATAAAGTATATCTGTATATATATATATATATATATATATATTATATATAGATTTCCTTTATTCATTTCCTGTTTTTCTCTTAATTTCTTTTCTAAGTATCTATTTTGAAAGCAAAGAGTTGTTTATTAAAAAAATATGTCTAATTTAATTTTATCCTTTTATTTTCATGAAGCTCTTGGTTTTATTGTCGCGACATGCTGACGCGAACAAATCCAATTATTTGGAGTCAATTTCAGCGTCTTTGCAACGTCTTGAGGATATAATTG